ATATATATATATATATATATATATATATGTATATATACTGATATATATGAATATATAACTGTCACTAATATTTGCTATTTTTATCAAATGCTAAATCAATAAATTTCTGGAATGATGCCATTAACTTGCACTAAAAGAACGATAATAGTAAGTTGAAATTAAAAGGAAAGGAAAGAGAAGAAAAGTTCATTGAAATGAGCTGAACGCATGTTTGATAAACGACAAGTAAACAAACTAAATTATCGTTGCACTGAATGATGCACAAATGGTGCCAGCGACGGCGGTAATATGCCATCAGAAAAGGCATTTTTATCTTTTAACATAAGAATATTCAAATTTATTTCTTAAAATTTACAAATCTGAACATTTATGGTTTGATTAATATTCATCTGTCTCTTTTAAATAGATTGATTATTCTATATGAAAAAAATCTAAACTTTAAATTCTAAAAATAATTGAAAATAGAAATTCATGCTAATCTCTAATCTGTTGTATTCCAACTTACATCTTCTCAATAAGGCGCAATTTTATTAGTATTATTCCTTTGTAATACTTATTCTAAAAGAAGAAAGATTATAAAATGAATGAAGAGGTCGTAAGAGGATGAGTCGTACGATTTAGTTTGAAAGATTCCATTTTAAATTGCATAGTGTATTTAATTCCCAATGGGCAAATAAAAAGCTTATATATCCGTTTAAAAGTAATAGAATGGATATGCGGGAATTGTCCATAACTGTCCATCCATTGCTCTTTTTTGTTTCATCGGGCATTTTACTTCTTTACTTCACTTCTGATACATTGTAGTATGTGTCAATTGTTATTTGAAGTATCATACCTTTTTCTCTGTATCATACTATTATCAGTCTTTTTTATTTTAAATTCTAAGAGAGAGAAAGGGAGAGAGAGAGAGAGAGAGAATCTCTTGAAGTATTAGCTAAATTGAATATTTTGATTTATTTTATTTTCATAGAATTTCGCTCATTTTATCTTTTATGACAGCAAAAGTTTAGTTTTGCTTTATACAAATTGACTAAAATGATAAGAGAGATAAAGAGAGAAAGAGAGAGAGAGAGAGTCTCTTGAGTGTTAGCTAAATTGAGTGGGAATCTTAATATGTAATGATAAATGAGTAAAGAAGCAGCGCGAAAGCAGTATGACCACTTGAAAGGAAAATTAGATGGAATGATCAGCGAAAGGTCCCCCGTAACAGACCACTCTTTACATAGCATTGAAAACTGTGAGGGGTCAACCTTCACTCTTTCCTATACAGCCATCGGATGACCTCTTCGATCTTTCTCTCTTCCAACACTCCCACACTAACGTCAATCACATATTTTGCTCAATTTTTTTTGCTACCACCTAATGAAATATACATTGAGGAAGTTATCATTTTCCATTTTATAATCAGTGATAAACATCAAATTTACTTCTATTTAGAGATATTATTTCAAATCTTTAAATTTTAATTAAAACATTCGAATTAAATGGGAAAATACTAAATATCAAGAATATGATAAAATGAAATAATTTTTATATTAAATGGTTGGATAATTATATTACGATGTGATAGATTTTATTTTCAATTCAGTTATTAGCTAAATGACAGCAACATTTTTTCAAGAAGAATTTATTTTAAAGTATAAATTGCACTCAGACTTTTATAGCACTCCGATAATATACTTTATTATACTTTTCCACTTATTTTACTACTTTTACTGCAGAAATTTCTTTTATTTCATTTTCAAAAATTGAAATTTTGAATAAAAGCAAAAATTTTTTCAACAAATATTTATGTGATAATTTTATATTAATTAATTAAAAAATTAAAAAAATTTCATTTATGGTTTATTTAATTGAATTAGAATAAAAATATAATTAACTATTAGAATTAATTATGTAATTTAAATATATATTTTTTTTCTTTTACAAAATTAATTCATTTAGAAATTATTTTTAATTAAAAGAAAAATGAAATAAATAAATGGAAGTATTTCATATAAAATATTAAATTTGAATTTGAACGAAGGAAAATTTTTGTTTCAAACAAATGGTAATATTTATGCAATAAGTAAGATAATCATTCTTGTCGTTCTATTCCTTCTATTCAATTAATGATATATCAGAAATGGAAAGAAAAGATTTCTCTTCTAATCGAATCTTAATTCTATTCAACTAATAGTAATATTGATTCTCTTTCCCAATTCTCTAATTCCTTCTTTTCTTCCTTTTCCGTCTCCTTTTTAACCTTTTCAAAAATTTCTCTCGTCGGTATAAAACAAAGAAATGACCTTTTCAGTTTTATTGAAATTCATATTTCCTTCTATGAAAGAGAAAAAGTTTTAGATTTTATAAAAGTTTTAATAATTAAAAAATTATTTAAAATAATATATTACCACCAAAAATTATAGGAAAAAACTATAAGAAGTGAAATTTATTCAATATGAAATAGGAAATTATTTGTAGAATAGTAAAATATTTTGCAAAAATTTGAATTATTTTGTGTATTATCCGTTTATGTTTGTTTATTATGGAAGTTTATTGTTTATAGAATATAATTAATAGCTAATTAATATAATTATTAGTGTTTAAATCATTAATGTTTTTTTTATTGAATACTATCAATCGTTTTAATATTTAAATTTTTAGGATGATAAGGAAACAAAACAATGGAATCATTTTTCTCTGTTGGATTTCCAAAGTTTCGTTTCTTTCATCAAAATGCCATTCGTTAGCAATTTGCTAAACAATTATCAAAGGAAATAACAAATTATCATTTCAAAGTCATCTTATCATTTTTATGCCTATTTCCTATCACTGCTTATGTTTGCCTCAACTATTATTACTATTACTGATAATCCTATCAATGCTATTTTTATTATTTTGAATAATTGCCTTATAGTATCCATTGATTTGCAATCAGCCAATGGCTAGTCTCCATTTACTGCTCTTAGCTCTATTATTGTTCGGTTGCGATCGTTCCGGTTTAGCCCGGAATCATGAACGCGAAATCGACACTTTTCAGGTATACATATATGCTTCTTAATTCTAATACATTAATAACAATATGCCAGAAGTTAAATTTAATAAAAAAATATTTTGAATAGAAAATAGAACAGAAATCAAGATATTTAATACAGTTAAAAAGTGAACTAAATTCAAATTTTGAAAGTGTTTGATAGTTTTGCTGTCTATTGGATCTCTTCACAAATATTTTACATTATCTATTAGCCATTTACTTTACCCATATGTTGCTGGAAGCTAATAACAAGTAAATAACTTATTAGCTAATTTTCTCCGAAAAATTTCGACGACAAATTTTGACATATTAAACAAATTGTAATAAAGTTGAATTAAAAAAAAATGAACTTCAAAAAAGCAATTTCAGTTCACAGCACCGATTTACAATGTCTCGTTGGAAGAGAACGCCCGTGGCAAAGATATTTATGCGATCGTAAATGAACCCATTCGAATGGGTGTGCCGCTGCCAAGTGATAATGCCATTTTGAAATTTCGAATTGTCGAAGTAATACCAAAAATGTTGCATATTTTAATTCTTCCTTTATTGCTTATTCAAATTTTATTTTTGTGTTTTTAACAAGAAATAAATTTAATTAAACTGAATTTCAAAATATGACCCAAAGAAAAAATTGAAAGTTCTTATCTCATGCCCACAAAATTTTAATCTTATTTTCATGAAATTGCAAATGTTGCAGGGTGATAAGCAATACTTCAAAGCGGAAGCAAAAACCGTAGGTAATTTTGCATTTCTACGAATTCGATATCGAAACGATGGTATACTCAATCGGGAACTAAAGGTTTGCAAATATTGAAATGATTAAAGAATGGGATACACCAGGAATACCAGAATTAGTTCGATATTAATTCCATTAACAATTGCTTAAATAATTGTTTAAATAATTGCTTAAATAATTGCTTAAACTGTGAAGTAGCCAATATCAAGTGCTGAAAGGCTCAGAAGCCTCGATGGATCCCATCCCAAACTATTTGTTGGTTTGGAAAAGGAAGGAAAATGCATAAAAATCATTAATTGAGAAGTAACATTGTCAAGTTGCATTCTAAAATATTAATATCTTGCCAGCACTGCTTTTAAAAACTGAAGTCTCTTAAATTTATGTTCTGTACAACATTTTATACAATTTGAAGAATTCAAAACTACATTTAATTTGCTAGTAAAATTACATTGGTATATTTTCTGACATGTCCAATAACTTTGTAAATCGTTTAAAATTTAGGAGCGATACGAATTTCTGATTAAAGCATCATGCCGACGAAAAGATGCAACAAATTTGGAGACGACAGTTATGGTTAACTTACTCGTAACAGATCAAAATGATGCTAAACCAATATTTGAGAAAGATGAGTATCGAGCTGAAGTGAAGCAAAATGTTTGTTTTTAATTTCATTTTTTACTAATATTGTATGCATGCATGAATGTTATGCCATTTTTGCAGTATTGATGGCAGTTACATGAGTTATAAATAGAAATACATCGATTTAAAATATTCTCTAAGGTTTATAAATTGTTGCAAATGATATAATTTTATATTGTTTTGCAGATACCACCGTTTACCACCATCCTGCAGGTTCAAGCGTCTGATGCTGATATTGCTCTGAATAGTCAAATTTATTATTCATTGGTGGAATGGTCACTTGATTTTATGGTTGATCCGATTTCTGGTGCTATCCGAAATTTACGATCTTTAGAATCTGGCACTTATGAATTGACACTTTTAGCCGAAGATCGAGCTTCAAGACTATTCCAGCAAAAGGCTCAGACTGATGATGAAAATGATCTTTTCAATCACAATAAAGCTAAAGCGGTCCTCTTTTTATTAATTAATAAATTTTTTTGTTCTTAGTGGACTAACAATTATGAAATATATCTCTTGTATTATTGACTAAAATTTTAAATCGAAATAACAATAATTCTTAGACCTTTATCATGAAGTTTATAACTTTGTGCGCAAATCATTTATTGAACGCATATCGCAATTTATAGAATTATCAAAATTGAAAATATTTGAATTTCACTGATTAATTTCTGTGCTGGTTAGGTTCAATATACATTTCTTGTCCTATCATATCTTTCCGATCTTCTTTGATGGCTGTAATTAATGCTATCATTGTTATCAGAATTTTTCATTGTCATTTTCTATTATTAAGCTGTGAATTTCTAGGTGATAACGGTAAAGCCAATGGAGAAGAATGTGCGAAAGTTAAGGGTTGAGGTGAAACCGATATCAGCCAGTTTATGGAATGTTACACAAACTGTTGCGATAGCAAGAATAGAAGGAATAACAGCAGATGTTATTGCCAAGTTAGAGATCATCGATGATGAATATGCTGGCGCTTTTGTCGTAAAAAAAAATTCAAGTAGTGAGAATGTTTGGCTAATTGAAACTATCGCTGGTTAGTATTTGTGTGAAATAATCATTTTTTTCATTTTCTCATTTACTTTTTTTATTGCATTGTTAAACAAATAGTTTTAATTAGACGAGAAATTAATTAGTTGTTGTTGTAGTAATGGCGAATAAATTTCATTTTGTCTTACAACAACTTCAAATTGATTTGTTTAGAAATAGTAATTTCTTATATATGAGATTAAACTAAAGTTTTAAGTTGGTGTGTCACGAATTAATTTTTTAAATATTTTAAATCACTTTAACACGGATACATGTTTTATCTAATCACCCATATATAGATTTGATTTAAATTTTGAAATGCTTAAGGAATCGAAAAAATTTAATGCGAATTAAATTCAAATACATTCAATACGAATTAAATTCAAAATATATTGTGGTAAAATGAATTTATTGGAGGTATTTGGCTACAACCTGATTGGTTTATTCAACTGAAAGCAATTGTTGTTGATGATTTCATCGAAAATCTGATGGAAAACATTAAAATACAATTGGTAGGCAAACGATCGGTACAATTTGAAAATTTATCAGCTATGCAAATTGTTATCAATGAGTCGGTACCGCTAGGTTATGTTATCACACAACTGAAAGCTCATGTTATTAATGGTTTCGATGGAGATGATGAGCAAATAAGGTTTGATATCACATCCTTATCTGTAATATGAATTAATTTTAGTAAAATTTACATTATTGCAGTCACATCCAATATTATAATAAAAAATCATACTAGAAAACGGAACTGGGAAAAATATGTTAGAATACTATAAGGCTATTGTCAAGATACCATAAAGTTACCGTGAAGATACTGTATATTTATCATGAAGATATTGTGCAGCCGAATGACAGCGATTCAAACCATCAAGATGGTTAATATCTGCGAGAATTGGATTAATCGGAAATATTTATAGCAAATAGGCATGTGGAAAAAGAATGAAATCCTTTGTTATTTGATGCAGCTGTGAAAATTTTCGTTAATTCTAGATCAAAAATGAAGGAAACCATGTTTAATTTATAGGCGTTTACAGATATTCAACTTCAAACGCTGACAGAAGTCTACCTTTCTCTGTGGATGAAAACAGCGGACATTTAAGAATAATCAAATGGCTTGATTACGAAAATGTGTCACTCTATCGTTTTGAAGTTTTTGCTAAGGTTGGCTACTTTTCTCATCTTTATTAGGTATAACAAACTAATATATGGAAGGTAATCCAAGTTATTATAAATCTAATTTTCTAACAAATAAAGACTGGCTAAAGTCTACATGTAACTTAATGGACTTAATTAGATCTAATTTGTGGATGGTATTAATTAGATGCAATTTGAGGTAAAGTATATATAAGAAATTTTATGTTTCAGCTTTTGGACAGTACTTTGGAAGCAAAGAAAGAGGTTGAAGTGATGGTTGCAGACAGTAACGATCATTGTCCAACTTTCGCTGCGAAATGGGCTCGAGGTGATCCTGTTGGTGAGCTGTTTACAAATTTTCTGATTTAAAAAAATTTCTATCATTGATATTTTGATTTATTATTTGATAGATGAAGAAATTGACAGGAAATTAATAAATTGATGGAAATCTTTACGATTTTAGTTTAATTACTCATTGTTTTACCTGGATTAATTTATGTAAAAAAGTTTAAAATCAAGCAGAAAGATTAATTTATCTTAAAAATATTATTGTAATATCAATACATTCATTGTATGATAATAATTTAACTAAAGAAGTTTCCTTTAATCTTTTGATTCTTCTGATTTAAATTCAAAATTTGTTAAATCTTTACCCATAGAAATAATTAACAGAAATTTTTTTGTTATTAATCCTAATCGATGGATGAAAACTATTAAAAAATAATTGTTATTCAATTCAAGAAATAAATGTTAGCACTTTCAAACATCAATTAAATTTTTGCAGCTTTTCCTCGGAATCATTCACTCAACAAAGTATTGTTCAAAGCCGAAGCATTGGATATCGATAGTGGCGCAAATGGCCACATCCGATACGAATTGCTCAGTGAAACTCTTGCCACTACAAAGATCTTTACTATCAATCCTGATACAGGCGAAGTTTGTCATCTATTTGTAACATGATATTGTGCCCAGTAAAGTCGTCGAAAAAGAAATTTTTGATTAAAAAAATACTTCGGAGAGCCTTCCATTATTAATTTTTCATTAACGTGGCGTCTGTATTGAATATTTAAAAATAAAGCATAACAAAGTTGAACCGAAAGTTCATCTTAACTTTTCTCCAGGTTACATTACGTCAGCAACCGCCAAAAAACGAAACTCGATGGAAGCTTAGGATTCGAGCATCTGATGCTGGATGGCCATTTCCGCGAAGCAGTGAAGTATTAATCAACATATACATAAATGGTACAGACGCACCTCCTAAGATAAGGCCATCGCTTCTGCGTGAAGCTCAAAATGAACATTCACCGATTATCATAAATCAAACTGTACTTAACGTATCAATGGATAGCTCACCTGGAAAGGTACCTTTCACTTTTAATGTAAATTTTTCATTTTTTAGCTAATATATCAGTATTTTTCTGTTTCTTTAGTTTTTTTTCATGTAAATTGTTGTACAGATGGATTATTTAATCAGAAAGAGGGAAAGAACAAAATATTGATTTGATAAATGAAGTGATACTTAATATTTAAAGATAAGAGAGAAAAATTAGACAAAGAGGAGGTGGAGGAGGAAGAGGAGGAGAGGAATTTATTCAAACTGAAGATTAATAATATCTTCATTTTAGTAATTACATAGCAAAAAAATGATTATCAAATATGATTTCTAAGGTAACAATAGATATTGATACTAATCGTTACTTAGCAATTAATTCTACCATTTTCATCAATTTATTTATCAGTAATCAATTCTATAATTTCAACAATTTATTTATCATTCAATAACTGATACATCATTTCTCTGTGATACAATCCTCATAATGTCTGATCAATATTTATCTAATCGATAGAATTGATTGCTAAAATTATTGCTTATAATTACATAAAGATATAATTAAAACCATAAAATTAGGAAATTTAAATTAAAATTAATTCTTTTAGATGTTAGGACGAGTTGAAGCTTATGACAGTGATTTTGGCTATGCTGGCCTGATACGATTTGGTACTTTCGACAAATTTTTTGCATTAGAGCCATTTAGTGGTGAAGTTATTCTGCTAAAATCATTGACAGACTTGTTGGGAAATAAAAATAAAACAGAACAAATGGAATATATCATTGAAATAAGTGCTTGTGATTTGGGACAACCTATTCGATGTACTAATGGAATGATTACAGTTCTTATTACTGAAGCCAATGTATATAAGCCACGCTTTGAAAAGGTATTTGAACTAAACCAATGAAATAGTCAGTTAACTAAATAAATAAAAATAAAAATTAAATGTAATTCTTTTCTAATTATATCAAATTACTTTAGCCTTACTATCGCGTGCATATAGCAGAGAATACGGAAATTGGAAGCAAGTTTTTATCACTGTTAGCGCAGGATAATGATTATGGTAATAATGGACAAGTTGGTTATCAGATAATCAATTCACAGAGTTATTTTCAAATTGATGAGAATACTGGTGTTTTGGAAGTTATGAGAAAACTCGATCGTGAAGAAATAGCCATTCATCGGTAGATTGTTATTTTTTTTTAATCCGCAAATTATTATATAAATTTTAAGCTTTTTAATAGAATTTTAAAAATTTGAGATAAGATCAAAAAATAAAATGAGATTAGACATTTTAGTCTAACAGTTATGGCATTCGATCGCGGATATCCGATGAAAGTTGCATTCGTTAATGTTACAATTATTCTTACTGATATTAATGATAATGCTCCTTTATGTGTTGAGCCTATTCGAAAAGTATGAATTTTTCGAATTTTTTTTCGTTAAACTAATTACTTAAAATTAATGCTCAGTATAAATATTGTTGATCTTTTTTATGATAATTAAAAGGAATTATTAATTATCTCATGCTAATTTTCTTTCGGATTTATCAATTTTAATTCAACAAATTAGCACTGTGCGAGGAAGTAGTAGATATTGAATTCATTTATTTGAGTAATTTCATTACTTCTCTTAATATTATTCTTTAAATATTAAATGTTACATCGATGTTTATGTCATCAATTGATCTTTACAGTTTTGCTAAAAATTTTCCTCATAGTTTCATTCCATGATATCCTTTAATCATATGCTAATAACACGGCAATATTAATTAACGCTTCAGGTAATAATTCCGGAAGATTATCCAAATAATGCCTTACTAACATGTTTAACAGCATGGGACCCTGATGAAGGTAAAAATGGACAAGTAGCGTATGCATTTCATAATACCACTACGTTAGCATTCCGTATACAGGAAGATACAGGATGTATTTTTGTGAACACTGATGAATCATTTGATTTCGAAACAATCAACCTATACAATTTATCTATAGAAGTGAGTTATTATCATTCTAATAGTTCATCTATGAGCTCTTAATCCATAATTTATTGCATATTCTATTCATGAAGTAAATGCCGAAATTACTTCACCAGTTAAAATATTATATATTGATAAAATATAGGCAATGGATAACGGTGAACCGATGTTAACATCTATTTGTACAGTATTGGTGGAACTTTCAGACGTTAATGAAAATTTATTTCCGCCACTTTTTGATGATATTGCACGTGAAATAACTGTTTATGGTGAGAAATGCTTTTTGTTCTTTTTCGAATTTAATATTTTGAAGATTTTTATAAACTTTTTCTAAATTTCTAACAGTTAATTTCGGAAGTTTTCTCGTTTTATCAGTATTATATATTAAAGTTTATTTCTGATTTTGCAGAAAATATGCCTATATGGACCGAAGTTTTTGCTCTAAATGCAACAGATCCTGATAGTCCAGAAACATCTGTCAAGTATACTATTATTGATGGTGATGGAATCAATTTATTCACTATTGATTCCGAAGGTTTTCGTTTAGCACTGAATTCATTAAAAAACCATTATTCATATTTAATTAATTCATTTAATTTTCTATTTTCCAGATTATTTTTTCCTGCTTCATTCATGGCTTTTATAAAAAATTTTTCTATTACAGAAATCTTTTTATGTGAAGAATTATTTGTAAATTCTAGTATTTTTGTAATATTTTATAAATCATAAATTTATAGGAATATTACGAACTTCGGCAGTTCTTGATCGTGAAGCATGCGATTCTTATTGGCTAACAATTGAAGCCTCTGATCTGAATCCAGTACCACTTACTTCAGTACTTCATGTGTTTATTCGTATTCTGGATAGAAATGATCATATACCACTATCACTGCGCCCTATCTATTTTTCCAGCATTCCGGAAAATTCGCCGGAAAATACAGTCATCATCAAAGTAACTGACACTTATTGCTTTATTCAGATTAAATTATTGATTGCTGATATTTTCCTTTTTTGATTACTTGCTATATTTCAGGTTGAAGCTGAAGATAAAGATGACCTTTCAAATCGTTATGGCATTGCGAATGTGAGCTTTAAAATAATTAGTGGTGATCCTCAGAGTTTCTTTGCAATTGATTCTAAAACAGGTAGGCTTCAAATATTTTTATAAGAAATCATGAAAAGATTGATTCTGCTCGGGACTATGGTATATTTATTTATACTTATTCAGAACTCATCTTTCAAATATTTCAGGTTACGTGGTAACTCGCGGGAAAAGACGCTTGGATCGCGAAACTCAAAAAGAGCATGTCATTATAGTAGAACTCTGCGATCAGGGTGATCCAAAATTATGTACCACGGTACCAGTTGTGATAACTATCACTGACCGAAATGATAATTCACCTTCTTTCAAACAGACAACTTACAACTTCAATATACCGAGTGGTGAAATTGGTGAATTGTGCAGGTGAGCATAAATGTCACTGTTACTGCCAATAATTAGCATCTTTCTATGAACTTCATGCAGTCTGAAGGGAAGGAATATCGATCAATTCTCAATAATTTCAATCTGAAATTTGGAGAAATCTACAGTTGTGTTCTCATTTTATCCTTTAAGAATATTTGCCATCGATAACGATGAAGGACAAAATGGTCGGTTGCTGTATAATTTCATTGAGGCGGATCCGCGGTTCACTATTGGTTCTGACGGTGAAATAATTACATCTGAATCTCTAAAAGAAAATGAAAGTTATCAGCTAACTGTTAAGGTTTGCATTCATTCCATTTACGCTTTTTTAAAATTTTATGTTAGTATCAAGATTTGATATCCTGTACTTTACTGCTTACTTGAGAAGTAATTATGAATCAGATCAGTTAGGTTAGAATTTAAATTGATTTAAATCACTAATAAATAATAAATAAAGTTACTTATATTTTTTCTTATATTTTCCTTATACTTTTCCAATTTCAAAAAAATAAAATGATTTCAACGAATTTTCAGGCAAGCGATATGGGTCAACCATCGCAAATATCACCGCCAGTTTTGGTCACTTTGAATGCAATTGGCAGACATGCGAAGACGATTGTACGTTTTCAGTTCAAAATGAAATTAATATATTTCTGAACATTTCCGATTTCATATAATTTTGTAATTTTTGAATTTAAAATGTAAAGGAAAATGGTAAACCGAAATTGTTGAATGCGAATCGCTGGGATCGACTATCGATATCAGATGCTGATAGTATTGGTGAAACAATTGGAGTAATTGAGGCGGAGGATCCAGATGGCGATCAATTGTGGTGGAAAATTATTGATGGCAATCCAAACAATACCTTTGCTATAAGGTTGTTCTTTTGTTGTAAACTAATCAGTTTGATTAGTAGTCAAAAAGTTTTCTGGCAGTTTTAGAAGATTTCTTCATGATATGTTTTGTTTACTTTTTTCACAGTTTTTCACTGAGAGTTCAGAAAAAAATAATTAATTAGTAATTAAACAAACTGATATTAAAAAATTAAACAAACTGATATTAAAGAAGTGCAAATAGTAAGGATTTAAATAAAACAATTATTTTTCAATTTTCCACAAAATTGGAACATTATAATTTTTGGCCAAGTGAAGTGGAATGAAGTAAGTAATGAAATCATATAATATATTTCTCTGTTCTTACTATTTCTCTTAATTGCAGCTGCGATTCGGGAGAGTTATACTTAGCGAAGAGTATTGATTTCATCATGAAAAATATCACTGAAGTAAGATTGAAATTCACGGTCAGTGATGATCTTAATACTACAGAAGGCATGGTTAGTTGCATAGTTAACTACTTTATTTCAATACATCCTTTAAAATCTTTAGAGTAAAAAAGTTTGAAATTGAATGCAATAGAATAAGATGAATTAGATTGAAATAAATAGAGTAGAATAGACTAGAATAGATAGAATACAATAAAACATTTACTATAAGTAGCTTTTGAGGACAAATGAATAAAATAGTTCACTTACCACAGCCATGAATTACAGGTATTGATTGAAATATCTCGAAAACATCGAAGTCGACCGGAATTTGATACTCAGTACTATCAAATTCCGGTATCAAAGATAGCACCTGTAGGAACGGTAGTTCATACCTTAAAAGCTACTATTGAACAGTTGAATGGTTCCATCAGTGATCGAAGAATAATTTTTGGAATACACATGGTGGAAGATATTGCGGTTGCTGACAAATTACGTGTCAATCCAAGGTAACTTATGAATTTCAGAAATATTTAGATCAATAGTGTTAGATCAATAACTTATTTTATATGCTTTTACAGTTCGGGAGAAGTAGTTATTGCTGAACCACTTAACAACATCGTTACAAACTTGTTCACATTGGTAGTATATGCTCGTTTCAATCAAATGATCAATTATGCAATGCTTGCTATATCATTGTATGGTGAAACAAAAACACCACCAAAATTTGTTGTCCCCGAATATTTTACATCTATTTCAGCAAGGTTTGTTTGGCAATGGGACATAAAGATGAAGCGAATTTAATAATCATTTCAATACTTTCAACTTATTCATTGGCTATTTGATAAGAACAATTAGCTAAATAATAAGATTAATTCATCAATTAATTCGATCAAAATTTATATTTGTCAGTTAAGAAAAATGGACACTGATCCATTTGTTATACTATAAATTAATGAGATTATTTTAGCTGAATTTAAAGATTAATTGCGTTAAAAATTTATTTGCATTTTTCAAATTAAAAATTCCCACCATATTTTTATTTACAAAAAGTATTTCCTTATAGCTCACCGGTAGGAACAACAATTTTGACAGTGCGTGCATACGATCCGAATCATAGCAATATCGAATATTCAATCGTCGAAGGTAATTAAAATGTTTGGTTCATCGATGTGAAGTTCAATTTGTGTTAATTATCTAACTTTGTTTTGAGAGTAATCAGTCATAATTTAAGCTTTAATTTAACTCTACTTTGTTTATAGTTTGCTCAACTAAAGAAGATCAAATTTCCATTAAATGACAGATTTTCATTGTTATTTCAATTATATGTTTGTTTGCTAATTTATTCATTTCATTTGAATTCGCAGGCAATGAAGGTGGTTACTTTGCGATCAATGAATATAGCGGTAAGATCAGAACAGCTTTTCCATTGATATCATACGATCGTGAAAAGATAATGTTGATAATACAGGCTAGTATCCATCAAAATGATAGTTTAACTGATCGATGCAATGTTGCAATAAACATACTCAATGATGGTCTTGGACGCATTAATTTCCCTCAGTTAGTTCAAAGCTTAATTCATAATTTTGATTGTTTCATTCTGACGGCATTATTCTTATCTTTTGATGATTCATCTTTTATCATTGCCATTCATCTTTACTGATATTTTTCGAGACGTTTTTTAAACATTCGGGTTTTAAAATTTTGCTAATAATCTTTTATTTAAAATTTTAAAATTAGTGACACTTTAAAATTGAAGAGGAGGAAAAGTTATTTGAATAAGAATGGAGAAAGGGAAGCGAAAAAAGAGAAAAGGGTAAAAAATAACTAAAACATTACACTTGAGGATTTCCACCAAATATCCCTCTCTCTCTCTCTGAATACTTAAAAGTTCACTATTGTATTCTAAAGTAGAACTAAGATATCAGAATCTATAAGATATCCCAGTCTGGGTGTAAGGATCCACTATTGTATTTCGAAGGTGAACCAAGATATCAGAATCTATAAGTTCCCTGAAACACGATTCCTTTAATATCATTTTATCATTGCTATCTATAGTAAACTTATTTTCAGATCATCATATTCTCTAACCATACATGAATCAACACCACCAAATACCATTGTTTATATATTAAATACGGGTAGTGCTATTAGTATTCGGTATAGTTTCCGTGATCCATGTCCGCTCCTCGCCATACATCCCATTTCCGGACTTATCTCTACAAAGTTCGTTACTAGTGCTGCGTCAATTCCGCATACCTGCATAGTTAGAGCACGAAATTCGCTTGGCACTGAAGATTTCATGGAATTGAAGATCAATGTAAGTTTTTCTTGCAGTATTATAGTAATTACCATCTAATCATTGTCTTTCCTTCATTACTGTCCCATTAACACTATCTTTAAGGTCAGGAAAGATTATAATGGATAAAGAGGAAAGTCATCCAAAATAATTAATTGTTCAAAAAATTAAAGAAATGTGTAAAAATGAAAGGAAAAAAAATTGGAGCGAAAAACTTTACAAAAAAGAAGAGTTTTAATTTTCTGCTGACTGATCTGATGACCTTTCCACTTTTGATGTTTGATGTATGACAATTCAATTTTCAAATATTACAATTGAAATACTTTTACAGATCAAATGATTTTAGGTTATTAGTGAGAATCAGTATGCGCCGTACTTTAACAATACAGTTTATCGAGGATATATTCATGAAAATATGCCGCTAAGTTTGATTTTTTTTATTTATAACATTTAAGTAATAAATTTTAATGAAATTTGACTGCTTAGTGAAAGGTATTTAATGAAGAGAGAAATTTTATAAAAGAGAAGGCTTTGAAATTATTAAATTCTTTTTAAATCATAGTGAGGAATGGTTTTTGCAGATTCATCAGTGCTGTTAAAGGATGGTCGCCAATTACTCGTAAAAGCGATCGATCACGATAGAGGAATTAATGGACTTGTTAATTATTGTATTGTTTCACCGCTTGAGCCATATTTCACAATCGACTACATCTCTGGTGCTGTTTTAACGAAAGCAGAAATTGACTTCGAAAAAGTATCTTTCATAAATATATTCCAAAGATCCGTTATCGACAAAGGGAATTTTTGATAATATATTTGAAATAATATTAATAAGAGAGGAGGAACGGATTGTTTAATGTGAAATGTTAGCAGAAATGTTTTATTTACAATTAAAAATTTGTTTTATATTTTCAAAGATACAAAAAAAAGGCGTTAGTTTTACTAATATAATTCAGTAATTCATCAAACAATTATATTTAATAGCTTTCATTTCTAATTAACTTTTCATATTCAATTCTTAACTCTTTCTTTCATCCATTATATTAATAATTGTTCAGCAGTAATATATTGAAAAAAGAAACACCTTTTTGTTTTAATCTTTGACTAAGGAATTATTCATATTCAAATATCGATTATTGGAAATTGATTAATGAGTAGCATCTGTGATTGATTATTGATTATATTTTAGATAAAACATTGGTCATTTTATGTCAAAGCAAGTGATTCTGCGGCAAAAATGTTAGCATCACCAGTTCCAGTATTAGTTGAAATAATGATTGTTGATATGAATGATATGCCACCAATTTTCATCCAAAAACAATACAATGCAACACTTCTTCTGCCAACTCTTAAAGGTACTGAAAATGTTCACTTTCTGATTCTTTTCATTTACATATCTATCATTGATCGATTAATTTTAATTTAAAAAGAGATTATTATTATATAATTATGCAAACTGAAAAAATTACTGTTACCGTGAATAGGTATAGCAAGGAATGAACTTATTAAATACAAGCCTTGCATATATATAAACGATCTATCAAATGTAAATTAAGGAAGCATCTGTTTCATAAAGAATAAACCTAACAAATGGCTAACTTTACCATGTATTAATTCTGTTTGATGCTAAGGAAAAAAAAGGCTTGAAATTAAATGTATAGTTATTATTTGATAATTGAATGTTTTTACGAGTATTTAAAAATATTTCATCAGGTACGACAATATGTTATGCAACAGCGAAAGACGTAGATACAGTAGGTATATTGCGTTATGCCATTGTCTCATCTAATGATAGAAAATTATTTGCTGTTGAAGAATTTACGGGACGCATTTATACGAATGGCAATAGTTCCGCTGATTATTCAAAAAACAAATATGAGGTAACTTGTAATACTTATCTGTCATACTTTTTAAAAATAAATTTTAATTGCAATTTTTTGATGAGATATAGTAAATCCTACTAATGAAAATTTGGGATTTAAATTAAACTTTAAAATTGTGAAAACACTTCACACATTATTTCTACTGTCTTTTACTAACATTTACAGCAAAATTTTAAAATCGTGAATTGTTTAATGTTAATATTTCAGATTAACCTAGTCGTATCAGACGGTTTAAAATCAGATTTTGCGGTTCTATCGATTTATGTTGAAAACATTTCTCAAACTAAAAGTACAATCAAATTTTTGGAAACAAACTATGGAGCAATAATAACAGAAAACATAACATCATCTGTAATGACGCGGTTATTAACTGTTAGCGCCAGGAGTACGATAAATGATAGTCTTCTGTATAGCATTTTAAATCCAAACAATTACTTCACAATCGGTGCTACATCCGGAATTATCAGCTGGACCGGTAAAGCCATTGATCGAGAAAAAATATCTGCAGTACATTTGATTATACAGGTATAATTTTTGCGCACTTATCATTCCTCTTTTCTATTATATTTCTCTTTTCCTTTCATTCCTCTTTTCTATTATTAGTTTTATTAAGAACTTTTAAATTTTCTTTTCTTTTTTCAAATTTTAAAGTTGTAGATGATAACAAACATTGATATACTCTTCGAGACCTTTTTGGCCACAAAAACAATATTCAAATATTGCTGAAAGATTGCTAATTTCCAGGCACGGCAACTAAGTGGAGGTGACGAACGAGCGCAAAGTATTGTCACAATCAAAGTTGAGGACAAAAACGATTGCGAGCCACATTTCATCGGTCTTCCCTATGAACTTACTATTTCGCGTGATGTTCGGCCAGGTGATAAAGTAATCAATGTGAAGGCTATTGATGCTGATGAAGGAACCAACGGCGTCGTTAGGTTCGTTACAAATTTGATTAAGTGCGATTAGATTGAATCAGAAGGATATGTCTTCTTGTAAAAAGCATTTAATTTTTTTCCGTAAAATCTATGAGAAGTATTGGAAAATAAATCGTTTAAATTTTTTCAAGAAAAGAACACAGAACTAAATTCTCAGTAAGCTCAAAAATAAAATGTTCAAAAATAATTTGCTTTAGTCAAAAAAATAAAATAATTTAAGCTCAAAAAATAAAATAATAAGCTCAAAAAGCTCAAAAAGTAAGCTCAGTAAGCTCAAAAAGTAAAAAGTAAAAAGTAAGCTCAAAAAATAAGATAATTTGCTTTAGCTAAACGTTTTATCTAATTTCTTTAACTCTAAGCTTAAATCCTATCTATCTACATGCATTCTACTTCAGGTATAAGTTGAAAACAAGCACGAAGTATTTTGATATTAACAAATATGATGGAAGGATCGTTATCAATCAATCATTTGAAGATGCTAAATTTGATAGTGTTTCATTGGAAGTCATTGCGGAAGATCAAGGTAAGTAAATGGTTGAAATGATTTTGAAGAAATCGAATTTAAATTTTCCATATAGTTTTAAGTGAGTCAGCAGAGTGAAATTTCTAACTAATTTTAAATACAGACAGGCAAAAAAATTAAGATAATGTCCGTTTTAGGAGAACCATCTCTATCATCATCGGCTGCTGTCGTAATACACATTGCTGATCGGGACATACCAATATTTGGTAATCATTATCATGAAGCCCACATTATCGAAAATGCAGCACGTGATTCCTCTGTAATAAATGTTCATGCGGTAGGTGTTACAGGAAGTAGGATTGGCTATGCAATAAAATCTGGAAATGAGGATAATCGTTTCAAAATTGACTTTGATACAGGTAATTTTTTTGACGCATCATACTGAATTAAAGAATTAGGAAGAACAGAAGTTTATTAAATTAATTAATTTCGTTGAAGCGATGTTTAAATTTAAGTTATGAACCTCAAGAAAGGCGTAGTTTATTTATTTTTTTCAATTTGTAAGCAAATTCATTCAATTTAATTCAAAATTTTGAATTAATTTGGAATGAAAATTTCGAATTGAAACTTGTTTTGGAGCTGTAAAATGAATTTCCTTTCAGCTGCAGGCATTTTATACTATCAAACTAATGATTTACTTTATAATTTCACATATTTTATGATCTCATTGCTGTACCAAATAACTTTACTTAGGTATGATAACTGTGCATAAAGTATTGGATCGTGAAAAATGTGCTTCCTATAACTTAACTATTGTTGCGATCGACGTTACTCGACGAGGAGTACGGGCGGAAAGTTACGTGATCATAAAGGTTGACGATATCAGTGATACTGCTCCTCATTTCAGTCAATTTTTCTACAACATATCAGTGAGCGAATCAACAGCCATTGGCACCCAACTTCTGAAGGTTAGCTCAGATTTTTAAATCATATTGCTTACTATTTAGTTGAATTTTAGAGTGGTTGTACTTGGTATTTCTTAACATGCTGATATTTAAATTAGGTGTTATAATTTGTAATTCTTTACTGACTTTAGGTTGAAGCAGTTGACCCGGACATAAATGATAATTACATTTCATATGGAATTATTGGTTCTAATGCTTCAGGTAATTTTTATGCATCTTTGGAAATATTAACAGTAAAGAAAGATTAAAAAATTTGCTGATGAAGAATGATTTTAGCTAAATAATATAAAATAGAAGCTAAGAATAAAAAATTTTTAATTTCGATTAGTTTCTTAATTAATGTTATTTCGTGTAAAAAGAAGTATTGTAGTACTTTCCGTGGATTCTCGAACTGGTATTGTATCACTCATGAAATCGCTCGATTTCGAAACGAAACGATTGTTTAAATTTAAATTGACTGCTTCCGATTCCATGCACTTAACATCACAAGCAGTACACATTTATTTGTTTAACTTTCCAAACATTCATTCCGTATAAAAGCATTCATTTTATTTTATGAAAGATAGTTCAAAATGAATTCTTTCAAACTTTTTATTTTACGTAACAAATTATTCTGAACTTCACGTTAATAGCATTTGAAGGATTTACTACTGCACGTTATGGATGCAAATGATATTGCTCCGAAGTTCATTTCAAAAATATTTCGTAGCACAATAGAAAGTGAAACTCCTATCAATCATTTCATTGCAAAATTGGATGCTTCTGATGAGGTATCTCTCAAAGTTTTACAGTAATCATTAAAAAAGTTTTTTTGAGAAATGTTGCATGGTTGGAAAAAATTAAAACAGTTTGAGTTTCTTTTTTAAAGTTTATTTTCTTTTAATCTAATAATAATTTAACAATCATTAGATTACTTCTTTAAAAATACAATAACTAAAATATTGAAATATTCCAGGATACAATATCTAATCTTGAAAATGGCAAACGATTCCTATTCTCTATCACAGACGGTGATGAGACATTGTTGCAAATCAACCGCTCGACAGGTGTTGTATCGCTGTTACGAGCAGTTGACGAAGATGATCTTAAAATTGGTAAAAAACACTTCAACGTATCAGTTAGCGATGGTATTTTCACGAATTTTTGCTTGTTGGTGGTGAAAATTATTAGAAGTCGAAGTGGGCAACAATTACCACATTTTGAACAAACGCATTACTCGATAAGTGTGCGAGAAAACAGGTAAGATGTTATCATTTTACTTATATTTTAATATAATTTTATATTTTAGCCTGAGTGAACTGTTGTGACGATTCAATGAAATAATAAAGTTTTTCTGATAATGAATAACTTAGATCACTAAAAATTCATAAATTTCATTTCTTTTATAGCCCAATTGGTATGATGGTGATGACTGTTCGAGCTCATAGTGGCATACTTCCTCTAAAATATTCATTTAGTGGTTGCTACTATGAAAATTGTTCTGAAGTATTAAATATAGATGAAACGACTGGCAGAATTTACATAAAGTTTGTTATCATTGAATTATGAAAAATTTTAAAATCATTTTTAAATTATTTTCATATAATTCAAACAATAAATGATGAACTTCATAATAATTTTTTTTAAAGGAATCCATTAAACTACGAAGAGCAACGTATTCATCAATTTGTGCTTATGGTTACCGATACTGGTGATCGACGTGCTTTTGCTATATTAATTTTGAATATAATTGATGAAAATGATAACATACCGCAGTTTATCTTATCAAATGTTGAAATGTCAATATCGGTTGATTCACGTCTTGGCGAATCAATCTTTATGGTGATTCTTTTTAAACAATTCGTTGTCATTTTTATTTAAATAATTTCGATCTGAACGACTATTAGAAATCCATCCATACTATCTGTCATCGTCTTTTCTTCTTCCCATCCTTTCTAATTTCATGATTAAATTCACATTTTATGAAAACTGTAGTCGATAATTGAAGTTATATGTTAAGATGAAAGAAACCCTCTCACCTCTTATCAAGTATCTCAATAATCGGAAACTTAATGCATTTTAATTCCGGTCTAATCTTTTCTAGGTATTTGCTTTTGATAATGATGTTGATGATGAATTAGAATATAGCATTGTTAACAGTGATAAACTTCTCTCCAAATATTTTGCAATTCATCCAAAACAAGGATTGATTAGCGTACAGGAACCGTTAAATGATCTTGGTTTGTTTATTTTTTATATCGGTTAATTCAGATCAATTCCCAACTGTTTTGAATTTTGAGCTACCATTTGTCTTGTTTTCTAGCCATTTTTGCCTTATCACACTACCTTATCACTTTTAACATATTTTATTCGGAACTGACTGATTCGAATTATACCTAAATATTGAATTTAAGATCGTTATGGCAAGCTTAGAATAAGGTTATGCGTTTAATCTTTTCGTTAAATCATTAATTCGTTTTCAGTTAATGAACAAATTTCTTTGCTTATTCGTGTGATGGATAGCGCAAATCCTCCTCATCAGAATGAAACATCTGTTATATTAAATATCAGTCCTATTACTCATCTTCCAAAATTCTCCACTCATCACTTCCTTTTTTCGATATCGGAAAATGCGCCTATTGGAACAATTGTTGGTCGCCTTCAACAAGATTCTCAGCTCGGTAATTTTACCTGAGAATAAGTAAATCCAAAGTTAAAATAATAAGACTATTCCAGTTTTGTTTTACTTATTAACATTGCTAAACGGAACTCACATATATGATAAGTAAATCAACGATTTCTTGTTATGAACTTATGAATTTCAGTTGCTCTAATGGGCATGGTAATGCTATTAATGTAAGCACAAATATTCCATTGTAACAGTTAGGAAGATATAAGTTTTTAGAATTTTCGGATGTATTTTTTTCATTGGTTTCAATGGATCATTTATCAGATTTTCCTTTTTCTGTGAAGGAAAAAAGTGGACAAATTATTGTTAGCAGTGCGCTAAATTACGAGAAAGTTTGTTTTAAATAGAAGTTTTTGTTAGAGGAATTCTATTTTTTGTAGAACTATTTGATGAATTAAAGTGATCATTGAACTGTATTCATCTCTTCTTACGACAATTCTGTCGTACGACATGCAACAAACGTCTCTGCGATTTCTCAAATTAGAGGAAATCTTTAATACCTTCCATGATTGCTCTAATTTTTGAAGCAAATGTAGCCATCTATCTGCTCAGTACTATGAATTGCATCGAGCGGAATATGCTCAGAATCTGAGCAAGGCGAATGCCTCCTTTTGATCCCTTTGATCGTTTTATATATTCTTTCATATAAATAACGATATGATATTGTTGTTACAACGAATCCCTTATCTGAAACTGATAAGACGATTTCTTGAGAGTCTTTAGCTCTCTTAGAACTCTCGCAGGAGATATTCAGCATTAGATTTATCAACTAGAACTTTTGCACTGCAATGTATACATAGAATATATATTAAGAATTAAGAACATTATGTTATATTAAGAATAGCTAACGTAAGTGAATAGTAGCTTTTTTATGTATATTATGGCATCTAGGCATCTGTATTATGGTATCAGCATGAAGTAAATCTGAAATGTTTATCGTTTTCTCTTCAGACACGTGAAATACATTTTCTGGTGAGTTTGCACTTGGAGAAGCAGTTCAGTGTAAAAGCTATTTCTTTGGTGACAGTAAGTATAACGAACGTAAATAACAACAAGCCACGTTTTGAAAGTACATATGAACGTGTGATTATTTCGGAAGATTTATCAGTTGGCAGCACTATTACTGTTATTAGAGCAATAGATGCGAATCCTGTGGGATTGAATTTGAAACTTCAATATATCTTGGAAGAGGTTGCTATAATTGAATTATTTCAAATTATTATATGACATTTTCATTCGTTTTTTATAAATGAAAATTTTTGATATTTATCACATTTTTATTGGAATTTATCATTTATGCTTATATTTTACCTAATTTCAGGGCAATGACAATAATACTTTTAAATTGGATCACAAAACAGGTTGGCTTACACTGCTGAAAGAGGTTGATAGAGAGATAGTGGAAGAATATCTGCTAATAATCCGTGCTCAAGATGGAAGTGGACAAAGTACACAGAAGAAGATAATTGTTATCGTTAAAGATGTTAACGATTCACCCCCGCAATTCTCACAACAAATTTATTCTGTTCAATATTTTATTGATGATTTAAGAATTGGGCAGAAGATTTTACAACTGCAAGTTTATGTAAGTGATTAGTCGTACTTTCCTGTCTACTTACTAGAACAACATATTTAATTGTTCTAATTATTTTTTACAAAATCATTAATGGTCGAATTACTTAAGCAAACTGAGCTAAACAATGAAAAAAATTTTAGAAATAGTTCCACTTTTTACGACAAATTTTTGACATAATGGTAGCTTCAAAAATACTTTCAGTAATTTTGCTTTAAATTGAATAACAATAATGGATTGATTTCTGATATATAATTAATGAAAAAGCAAACAAACAGGATCCTGATTTGTATCCAAACAATATCACCAAGTTGTACATTATAAATGGCAATGAACATGGAATGTTTGAGTTGGAATTAAACAATCTTGTACTTAATAAACTTCCAACAAATTTTCATTCTGTTAAATCGAATCTTCTAATACTTGCACATGATGGAAAATATATAGCAAGAGCTGAAGTTACGGTATACTATTATGAATATTGCTTTTAAAAAAAAAATATTTTTCAATAAATTAAACAAACTTAACAAATTACTTGCCCACGTAAGTATGCGCTTGATTGTTTAATTAATAATTTGTAATTTGTAATTCATACAGTAACATTTAAAGTGTTTAGTCTTCCGGATTAGTTGGAATTTATAGAAAAAGGAAGTTACATTAACTTATATTAATCAATATATTTCAAAACAAAACTTACATAAGAAGAATGTAAAAACTAATGCTTTAATTGATGCTGTCAACTAAAATTTCAAATTTATCTTTGCAGGTGAAATTGCTAGCTAATTTTTCACAATTTCAATGTGAACCGAAAGAAATTCTTAAAAATATAAGTGAAGATTCGCCACCTGGAACCGTTATCAAAATGGGATATCAGAATTTGCGAAAATCATTACGATTCTATCTTACCGGATCAGAATCTGATTTATTTACTGTTGAAAACAATGGAACAGTTGTTGTTCATAAAAAACTTGGTTCAAATGTCTCAAATCAGGTTTATCTCCTTACTCTTTTTTCCTTTTTTTTCTAATTTCATGAATCACTTTTTAATATCATACAGTTTCTGATACTATGCGATCTATCCATTTACATCATCTTTTTGACAAGCGTTTTTGAAATAAGCTATTTTATATTCGATTTAACGAAGAAATTTATAGATCGAATTGTTTCTTCGAGCAGAAACTCCGGATAGCTTATGCATTCAGCGTATAATTGTTAACATTGAAAGGACAAGTAAAGGCAAAGTTACATTTGTGAAGCCTATTTTTTACGGTATGATTCTGGAAAATAGCAATGCAACTAAAGAGGAAAAGATATTCATAATGAGGTTTGTATTGTAAAATGGAAGAATCATTCATTTGCATTCTACAAATTTATTATTCACTTCATGATCACAATTTTTACTAACATTTCAATAATCTCTGTATAAATCGGTATTTACTTAAGAGAAGAAATTTTAGTTAGTCGTAGTTTACTTCATTTTATTCTTTCTTTTCTCTATTATCACAAGTTGTAAACAAAAGCACGATTTAATATAAACAATTAATGTAGCTTTTGTAAGTCTGATAAGATGACTATTTTGATTTGCAAGATTTGATTTTATACGCATTCATGCAAAATGGAGTAATAATGATAAAAAGGAATAGTTATATACCTTTAAAAGTTATTTTTCAATGGTTGAAATGCTTGAAAATTTTGTGTGTTACTAGCAAAATTAAAACTAAAAATTCATTAGTTGAAACTTGAATATTTTCAATTATTCTTATTATTTAAATAAAATATTTTATTCCATCTTTTATATCTTAAAAACTTTCTATTTTCATGCAGTTAGCTTTTTATAAATTTCAGCACTAAACACTTTAATTTATTTTTAATATGATATTTTTTAAGATGAAATTTTCCGACTTTCAGATTTAAAAAGCTATTATTTAGGCTGGAAGTAACTGTTGACGATTTGGATGGTATTGGCTTTGTCACATTTAAATTTGCTAGTAATAATACTCAGTATATGGATTTATTCGATATTGATAACGAAACTGGTGTTATGACAGCGATTTCTCCTCTTGATCGTGAGGTTAAGGATCAATATAACTTCTCAGTTCTTGCTATCACCACAGCAGGACATAGTGCTGAAGGTTTGTTACTAAAAATTTTCTAAAAATTTGCTTGCTGAATTGAAGTTCAATTTATTCTTTCACTTCTACTTAATATCCTATTCACATAAAATTAAAATATATTTAATTAAATAAAGAAGTTAAAGCACATAACGATGAATAGTTTAAATTTTTTGAAATTAAGCGCAATGTTTGTTTACTTTTTGTGTGTACTTATTGTATTCTAACAGTAAATTATTCAAAGTCAATTTAATTTAAGTTGAAATCTGAATTAGTTTAATTTCTATTTTTTATAACAAATATGTTTATATACGTTAACAGTTACTTGATTGCAGCAGAAGTGATTATTGATGTGGGAGATGTTAATGATAATGCTCCTATATTTGAACAGAATATCTATCATTTACGAATTGCGGAGGATGAAATACCTGGAAAAGAGCTTATTCAATTGAAAGCATATGGTGGTGATGATAAGGAAGTTATCACTTATCAAGTGCGAGCCCCTGATGATGTGGCTAAATATCTAAGCATTGATGCTAGTAACGGTAATTAATTCTCATAATTTATAATTCGATACTTCAGATTTTTAATCTTCAATTTTTAAGCATATCCTTAATTACATTTCTCTCTCGATTCCTGAATGCAAATTTTTTCAGGTTTATTGAAATTAGCTTCTACATTGGATTTTGAGAAATTAGAGAAATTTGCAATAGCTGTTATCGCAACAGATTCCGGAAAACCTCCATTAAGTTCAACATGTGAAATAGATATCGAAATTCTGGATGTAAACGATAATTCACCACGTTTTACGCAACCTATTTATCAAGCTACAGTGCTTGAGAATATGCCACGTGGTACAAAGGTTGTACAGGTGATATCATTGAATTATTAATTCATACTACCCTATTCTCCTCTTTAAAGTAGCTTTTTTTATTCGAATTAAAATATTATACGATTAATGAAGGGAAAAGTATTCCGGAAAAATAGAATGATTCATCGCTATGCTATAAGTCATAACTTTTTTATTATTAATTCAGGTATTGGCAAATGATCCGGATAGTGAACATTTCGGCCGAGTATCTTATCTGATAACAAATAGTGCAGCTCCATTCACTATCGGAGAAGATGGTTGGATTACAACGACGGAAATGTTTGATCGTGAAGCGGTACGCTTTTGTCATTTCATTTCTGATTAATTGATACTTTAGCGTATTTAATAGAATCAGTTATGGATTGTGATAGTTTACCGAATTTCGCTTAACTATCAGAGAAAATTGATTCAGTTATATTTTTATTTTTAACTGCTATAATTCTTTTATAATAATAGTTTAAAAAAATGTGTACATTGGACAAGAGCAGAAAATAATAGGCATGAGAAGCGTAGTTAAAATTCTGACAGGTCTTTAAATTTCACAATCAAATTCTAAGTAATAGTTATAAAGGGATATAAAATTTATATAAAGTAATATTTATAATGTCTAGTAGAATTTCACTTATCAAGAACAACAAACTAGTGTCTCTCTTTTATATGACATCAGTATATTTTCTACATCAGGAAATTATAAAACGAGAGATATTCATCTTTTCCAGATACATGCTCGCAGCAAATCATAAACTTCTTTCCAGAAAATTATCAGTTTAATTAAAGTGCGATACACATACCACCTAATTATTGTATTTTTTCCAGAAGAGTGCTTATCGTTTGACTGTAAAAGCAACAGACGGTGGTACTCCACCTCTATCGAATTCCACAATTGTTGAAATTGAAGTGGAAGACGAGAATGATAATGCTCCTGTTTTTAAACATTGCAATATGACCGCTGTTGTACAGGTACAGGTTTTATTCACTGTTTCAATACAATAGCAAAATATCAGTGTCACTTATCATCATTCATCACTTTTTCTCCGTTAAATAATTCTCAAAAATTCCAATTTAATTGTTCAGAATTATAAATTCAATACTTGGTAAACTTGCTTGGTAGACTGAAACATTGATATATTGTTATTAACATTGATATATTATTATTGATATATATTAATTGTTATTATTAATAATAATTATTATTAATTATTATTAGTTATTATTATTTATTATTATTATTATTATTATTATTATTATTACTATTATTATTATTATTATTATTATTGTTATTATTATCATTATCATTATTATTTCATCTATTCTTTGATTCATACAATACAATGATTAAAATATATGCAACAGTTTTAATGTTTAATATATTTAATGTTTCAGTCTATCTACTCTCACTTCTAATCTGCCATATACGTTCATGAAAAAGCTCATATAATCAACGCTTAGCTATTTTTTTTAGGAAAGTGTTGAGCCTGGACATGTTATATTGCCAATCTCTATTACTGATGATGATAAGGAACCAAATACCGGTCCGTATAAGTTAGAAATTGTTGGAGACGGTGCTTCATTGTTTGCTTTCGATAGCACGATGAATCTAATCACGATAAAACGATTACCACCACATGCTATAAAAGGAGTTTACCTTTTGTCGGTATGTTTTTAGATTTTGTGAAGTAAAATTTTTCTATTTAATTAAAATTTTTTAAGATTAAAAGTGACAATTTTGAGTGTAAAATTGGAGATAATAAGCTTATCGAACTGTGAACAATTTTTTTCATTTTACAGGTGAAAGTTTCTGATAGAGACAATTTATCGACGGAATGTCCAATGACATTATTTGTCAAAGAGGAAAGCCGTCATGCACCACAGAGTAATCCATTGAAAATTACTTTGAACACATTAATGGGTGAATTTTTGGGTGGAATCATCGGTAAAGTGGTGGCAACAGATGAAGTTAGTATTTCAATATTTCATCAGTAATCAATCACTTATATACATTACGTGACGTTATGACGTATAGCAATCTTTTTCATTAGTTTGTTTCACCTATACGTTTTGCTAAAATAAACATAAGTTATTTTGTATTATAGGACACTACGGATATGTTGCGATACTCATTAGCTGATCGCGAAATGAATGCTAATGAAATGAGTATTTGGTCGGATCATCAGCGCTTAAAAATTCCGTTCAATATCGATTCAGAAACAGGTGATATCATTGGTGAAGCTGATCTTCTTCCTGGAACATACCGTTTCAATGTTTTCATAACCGATGGTAAATTTATCACAGTGGCACCAGTTATAATAGATGTAAGTATCTATTATTATTATCACTATAAATTAAATAAATTATATAGAAGAAATTAGAATAGTTTAGATCTCTGCGATTAATATGTAATATTTTACTTGCTCATATTGATTACTTCGTTCTAAGTATTTTATTCAAATGAAAACAAATCATAAACTTTTTCATTCTAAATTTATTAATGGCAATGTTTGGTTTTAAACATTGAAGAAAACAAGAAAAAAGGCAAAGTAAATTTCAAAAGTAGTGAAGCTTGTTTTAGGTAACCTCAATTGATCAGGATGCATTGGATCATTCCGTAAGCATACGAATTCGTAATCTTCTGGGAGAAACATTCTTCAAGAGGCATGCTAGGAATTTCACAGATTCATTGTCCAAGTTCCTAAATGTCAGGCCTCAAAATGTTCAAATTCTTTCTGTACAGCCTACTTTAAGTAAGCTAATACTTTTTATTTTACTCGACAAATTTTGTTACTAAATTGTGATGAAATGTTGATTTTTCTTTATTATTTTTTTTATGTTGAATGTTTTTGGAATACTTTGCAAAGACATTACTTTTGGTCTAATCTGAGAACTGAACTGAAATGATGAAGTAAAAGTAATTTAGCTCAACATCGCCTACATGTTCGTCACTTGGGTAATCGAACGACATCAGAGCAAAATTTGGATATCCTGTTCACTGTATCACGCGATAATTCTCGAGGATATCACCGACCAAATTTCATTCGACAAAGACTTGAAAATAATGTTGCTCAACTAAGTGATGATATCGGCAAAGAGGTTCTCTCTTCTTTTTTTCTTTCTATGACTAATACTATCATAAATTGTGAAGCGAATTTTGCTAAGAATCTTGAATTGAAGAATGTTGAAAGAAAGATTAATAGAAGGAAAGTTTTTCATTCATTGCAAAGAATTTTCATTAATTATAGTGAAAGATTTGAAATGCTAATTAGTTTTTTTATGTTTCATGAAAATTTCCTCTCATGTTATTATAAAATTCAACGCAATTATCATCCTTTCCTCTAAATGTATGGTTTTCTTCCTACAGGTTATATCAATAATAACAGAAGTCTGTCGAAGGGATTTATGCGTTAACGGTGAATGCCGGGATCGTTTATATTTGGATGATACGTATAGTGTTTGCTATAAAACTGATCATCAATCATTCAGCGCTCCCATGCATCTCAGAACCTACGATTGCACATGCCGGACTGGTTATGCTGGAAAGCATTGTGATATACCGGTTGATAAATGCAGTCGGGATCAGTGTACCAAAGAAGAGGTTGTTTGTTGTTTATCGTAGAAGAGAATCAATTCATTTAGTTTTCAAATAAGAGCTTAGTTCATTCCTATAACAATGATTTGAAGAGAAATTTTAAATCTTATGTAATATCCAGGTACTTGTATTAAATGTATTTTACACTTTTAATTGTTCTTGCAAGACATAACTGTTTTTTAAAAAGAGATTTAAATCAAAATTATCACCTCGAAAAACGTGAAATAGGTTAATTCTTGTCAATTGTGAAGTTTACTGTACTCTTTAATTAAACATTTATTTATTTAATGATATTTGATTATTGCTGGAATAATGAAAGAATGTTTTTTATATTTGCTAAATAGTGCTTTATAGTTTTTTATCGGTTTCTTATTGGAACTTTAAAATTTTAAAAAATCATATAAGTAAAATACTGAAAGGTATCGTGAAAATTTTCAGATATGTGTTCCGATGAATACAGACATTGGATTTGATTGCGTCTGTCCACCAGGCACTACTGGCGATCGTTGTGATGTGACCATTTGCAGTAAAGATAAACGGGAATGCAGTCAGGGTTTGTTGAAATGGACTTTTGCTTAATAAATTAGCAAGAAAATTTAAGTAGCTTAATAAACATGCAAAATTTGTTTAGGGATAGGTATGCGAACGCTTATAGATTCTGGTCAAAAAGGTCATGTGTTATTAATTTCCATATAATAAGATATTAACCGAACAGAAATTTGCAGGAAAAAAATAATTCGAATTTTGCAAAAGTTATGATCCAGCTAAATTTATTTAATCTATCCAACATTTTAATACTTCATTCTTTCATTCTCTTCTCATTTTTTAAAAAATCTTCTATCTGTTGCAGATGCAGAAATTGGAGTTGGTGGCGATGGCTTTTTCCACATGACAATTTCAAATTCAGTAGAACGGCGGCTGGAATTAACGATTGATTTCAAAACTACAAGTGCAGATGCTGTCATTATGCATGGGGCTGGCAATTCAGATTTTCACATAATCGAGGTGATAAGAAAAGATATCTCACATTCATATATTCTTTAGAATTAACTTTGCGTAGGTTATGCTGTCCTTTTCATGAAATGAATGTGAGATGCAAAAAAACATGTAAATAATCATAAAACTTTGATTGTCGCAATTTTCTTTTTTAAATTTTAGATTGAAAAACGATACGTGCAGTATCGGTGGAATTGCGGTACTGGACCGGGAGTGGTTCGTATTAATCAGCAGATGGTCACTGATGGTAAATGGCATTCTTTGAAAGTATCGAGAAGAAGCAGACATGTGAAACTTGTCCTCGACGGAATATACGAAAAGGAAGGTGACAGTCCACAGGGTAGCGATGTTGTGAACCTTTACCGTCAGGCCATAAGGTAATTTTAATATACTTAACAAATTAATAATCCCTTTATTGATTGATTTGCAAATTTTAACTGCTCCTTATTTATTATATTTATTTTCTGTTTAAAAAATTTTTTAAAGTCTACAAAATCTTTAGTGCTAAAATTTGATTCTTTTTAAATTTAATAATTTTCATATATTTTTAGACTTACTTTTGGTGCTTTGGTCTCACAATCGGTTGACGACAGCGCTTTTACAACAGCAAGTGCGCTGAAACCAGTGGTAACAAGAGGAATGGTTGGCTGTTTTGGGTTTGTTTTTTGTGCATTTCAAAATGCAGTAAGCATGCTTCTCATATTCAAATTAGAATAACTTTCACAATGATGATTCGCATTTCTCAAGCGCAACTTTCTTAACCCATATAATAATGAAATTTTAAGTTTGACTTTCTTAGTGAAAAGGAAGTAAATTGATTTGAATTCATAAAGTAGCCTTGATTTAATTATTATTCATTTCCTCCTATTGATACTCTGTTATTGTTATCATTTAAGAGGGTCTTTCCATCTTTCCGAAAATGCATATCCAATTTTAATTCTCATCTCATGTTCACTTCAATTCTTCCTCCTATACATAGTCTGATGGCAAAATGTGACAGGAAGTATTTGTTAGAAATATCACTTTCTTTTACTTTTAATTTACTGTAAATGGGAAGTATTTCCAGGCGCATTTCTGTTGATGGTTATGAAATGCCGAAGACAAAGCAAGGCCTTTATCTCTACAATACTCGTCTAAACTGTAATGCTGTCGTTAATACTCAATGTGCTGCAGGTCCTTGTGAAAATGAGGGTACTTGTATTTCATCCGGTGATAAAACTTACAAGTAAATTACTTTCAAATATTTCACAAGCAAAATAGCACGAATCATGATTATTATTAGAATCTTTTATTTATCAATATTTACAGGATTATATCTCAGTAACAACTTACAAATTATCATAATTAATTTAAATATTTCAATAGCCTATTTATTTGCACATATATGTTTTTCATTATACTTCGCAGTAATTATCTTTGACTAAGAATTAAAATTAGAAGGTGCTGCTCAGAATGTTTTATTCCATTATTTATGTCTGCAAATTTTAGCTGTGCTTGTCCTCCGCGATATTCCGGTAGCAACTGTGAAATCGACCTAACACCATGTATTTCACGTCCATGTCCTCTTGGTGTAGAGTGCATCAATTTACATAATGACTTTTACTGCAACTGTCCGCATGGCTTCACAGGGAAAACTTGTCAATTGAGAGGTGAGTTATTGCGATTAACATGCTTTGTTAGTTCGATCTTGAAATGATTTTTGACAACTATTCCATTCTTTAAACTGGAATATGAAGAAGTTATGTATGTATTATTCATCCATCACTGCTTGTTCACGTTTTGAGTGTTCATTTAAAGAAATGGTTCATTGTTCAGTGCGGAAATGGTTCATTGTTGATCATTTCACATAATTGTAAATAGTTAATTAATATGCATTTATCAAATGAGTGATTTTAATTTTCAGGAGATTGGGATCCTTGTATGTCAAATCCTTGTGGTCATTTTGGCAACTGTATACATTTGCCTCATTCAGCCGGTTTCATATGTAATTGTTCCCATGGTTATTCCGGAATAGCTTGCAGAGGTAACAATATATAGTGTTACACATCAGTTTTAGTTTTCTGGAATAATTGTCGAATTCATCTTTTATTAGTTACTGATGTTTTTACAAAATTGGATAAAAATCAGAACGCTGTTAAATTAATATATGGTTAGTAATGTAATCGATAATTATTAAAACGATTCAAACTTAATGCCAATACATAGATAATAAACTAATCTTGAAGAAGTGAACAAATTATGAATACCGCAAAATGAAAGTTAAATGGAATGAAAAAATATTACAGATCGGTCACCGAATTTGATAGGAGATGATCGACCATTGAATGCGATTAAAATTATTGGCTTGATTATTGTCATATTACTTCTCATAATCGTTGCTGCTCTTATTGTCTGCATTTATTTACGCATTAAAAAGTTTGATATTTTTGATCCTTAGTAGATCACAATAATAGTTATTACTAACATAAGCAATATCTGATAGTAATAACTAATGATAACAAATAATAATTAATGATATTAATTGTAGTAATAAAAAGAAATAATAATAGTAATAAAAGTAATGATAATAACAATAATAATAATTAATAAGATTGTGTTTTTGTATTTTCCATGCAAGCAATAATTTAAAATTATTTCACATTAGACTTCAAATTCAGTGATTTTGGCATATATGCAATCACAGATTTGATTAATTAAAGCAAGCTTTTGCATCAAAATTATAGAAGTCGAAAACCATCGAAAGTAAGGGAAATGGAATACGAAACGAATAACTATAATCCACGAGTGTCAATGTCGTATGATGGTGTACCACGCAGTGTGACACCAGCGCCACCACTATTTCCACGCTTACACAACAGCAATTATGAGAAAGGCTTGCCAACAGTTCAGGTAAAGATTGTGATTCAGAGGATCTTTTTTTGCAAAAGATGCGCCTGAATAGATTAAGAAAATATTTGTTTAATGAAGAAATTAGCGGGTGAACTTTTGCGCTCTTTATACAAAGAATTTTCCCCGCAATTCTCGCATCTCACGCTATCTTCATATCTATTGCTCACTTTTCGTAATAAATTTTTATAAAAATTAACTTGATCAATAACGATTGTTACTTTTTAAATATAGAGTTAGTAAAATCTGTCTTTGGTGATCGTTTAAAAATAAAAAATATCGGATGGAAATGAATAATTTATAGGTACGTCCTTTACCAATTCATGAACGAATAAGTAGTTCATCAATTGGTGGTGGTAGCCGATCTCCTTCATTAGCTGATTCAAGTAAATACCGAATTCGTTGGATTGCAAAAGCGGGATCAGTAAAAAACTGTGAATCGGATCGTTGCATTGGTAGTTGTAATGAAAGGGAACTTGTATGTTGATTTTTCTTTTTCTCTTTTAGTTTTCTCCATTTAAATGAATTATTTAAATATTAAATTATCTTTTGAGATATCACGTAAAATTACTCTAATATCTTCAGCTTACTAGTAATGAAGCATTGAGACGATACGGTGAGTTGATTATGGGCGATAGTGATGGAATGACAAGTTGTTCATCTTCTCAGTTACAACCGGCTGCTGTTGATCGTTGTCATCGATCTTCTGGGTAGATAGATAAAATATTTAAATTATCTAAAATTGCTCACAATAATAAATTTTTATGAATTCGAAAATATTGAGAAAAATTTAATGAATGGAATTATTCAAAAATTTTACTGAAAATAAGATTGTTAAACTGTTCTAGTCAAAAACATAAAACTCGAGTGAAAAGGTCAAGGAATATTTGTGCATCCGATGATGCTCCAACAAAGGAAGATTGGCGTGTGCAATGTGAAAAACGGGTAAACACTTTAATTTTTGAAATTTTTAATACTATATAATATAAGAAACGGAAGGGATGTAAATATTGACCATTATACAGTTGACCCTTTGTACATCTATATTTTTAGATAAATGGAGCGTGTGATACAGCTGCCGAATTACGTGGCGAACGTTTAAAAAATAATCCTGGCATCAATAGAAACGTTACAAACGGTTGATTTTTGTTAGAAAGTTATCAATTTCTGCATGCATCTTGCATGTAAATTAATCCTATTGAAATTAAACTGAGATGAATTGATTCGATATATTTCATTGCAATTTTTAATTTCTACAG